GATGTATGGCTCTATGTGGCTGCACTATTCTTCCTACGTCTGAAATGGATTTAGTTAATTAATTTAGATCAATCAATTATCAATAATCTGAAGGCTTTTTGTTGCTTGCATATAAAGAAAAATATAGATTTGAATTGTCTAAATATTAAAAAATATAGAGTAAATTAGGTTCTTCATTATACAATAGTTGACATTTGCATAGATATTTGTCTAGATAATGGCATTCAAAGAAAAAATAACTTGGACTTTCTAGAACAAACTCTCCAGTAAGCAAGAAACGTCTTGGAATATCTTGGCAACATTGCAACAATGCTGTGATGTTGGAATGTTCTAATAGGGTCTTGCTTACTAGATAGTGTATTGAATGTATGTATAGCACACACATACACACACATACACACACATACACGCGCGCGCGATAAGTACATCAAAGCAGTAGAAAATGTTTCAAACACGCACGTGTCGTACAACAAGAAATGCGTAACGAATGAAAACTTGAGCGATCTAGAAAATGTCGATGTAACGAGCGAGGAGGTCATTCCTCATACACCAAAAAAAAGCGCCGGAAACAGAGTTTCATCGAAAAATAAGATAATGATGTAATCCAGGACTCGAACGTATGAGTACAAATTACTTTTTTCACGATTCCAGCCACCGACAGCCGATGCGACGGTCACTACGTGTCGCTGACACGTACTGCATTGCCACAAAACGCCGCGCGAGAATTTGTTCAGCTTATTATTTCCAATCAGATTGATGGTCTTCGGATGAAAAATCACGGCAAGTCCCCTGCCGGTCGCCATGTTGCGCGAGAAACGCATGCGGCATGATGAGAACGGAAGGTTATGGTCGGTTGTCGCTGGTCTCATGCAGTGTTGCCAATGGCTGCGTTCAGCAGAGCACAACAGTTTTGCAATCGTTTTATGAATGGGCAAGTTCAAGACGCAAGCGGCTAAGCATGCTTACCGAGCGATTGTACATGATTGGTTGGATCTATAAGTAACAACCAATTATGTACATTTGTTCGGTGCAGGCTAATCGCTTTGTCAACTTGAACGAAACGCGCCTACTATCTGCTGAAATAGGACCTAGGACCGTCCCTCTTGATTTAAAAGCATAACCCAATCAGCGCGAAGAAAACTTCCAACAGTTGCAAAATAAACATTCTGTTAAACGCAGCCAGTAGACCTATTCTATAACTTTTGAACGATAATTTTAGCTACCTAGAGATGTAGTTGCACAAATATTTTTAAGATCGCATTTATCTGATTGACACTTTCCATTAGATCCTAAAATATAGATCAATCAAACGAAAGAACTCACTGAGTGCTCAGTAAGCGGTTGTCGTTCTAACTTTTTAATGCACCCAATGGCTGCGTACTCAACAGTTGAATTGAGCGCTCGTTGCTATTGATGTAGATCTTGCTTCTAGATCTAAAATGTTGATTGGGTCATCAGAAAGAATATGCCAATAACAGCGAGCGCTCACGGATTCGCTCCGCAACAGTTGAATCTAAAGTCATTAGATCTCTTAAGTACCGCAATTGATTTCAGAAATGTCGCGTCAAAATGGCCAAAGTGGACATAGTAGAGCACTATAGATATTTGCATCCGCCATTTTTAATCCTTTCCTCACTCTCTGTTTTCTCTTCAATCTTCTTAGTTTACCGGTAGAGTGCAAAGAGAGAGAGAGAGAGAGAGAGAGAGAGAGAGCAGGAATTGAGAAAAAGAGCAAGAGAATGAAAAAAGAACTAAAAATGGCGGATGCGAATATTCATATTAAGCCGCTTATATACCTAGTAAACAAACACCGAACGAGAATATTCGGACATTCGTGTTTGTGTTTGTGAGCAGTTTCTTCTCTTTCTTGATTGCATCGAATACCAGCATTCGATCAGAGAATTCGGTTTTGTATCTTAAAACGTGGTGAAAATTACAAAAGTAAACGAATTTACTAAAATACTGATAATTTCATTAGTCAACACCTAGTAAATTTGCTCACTTTTGTAATTTTCACCTTGTTTCAAGATATGATCCCCTGATTTGATGTTTGTTACATAGAGAAATTAAACTTGTGCAACTTTTATGTAACAAATAATAACAGAGTGTTTACGTTTGCTGTTCGTTCGATGTTTGTTTGCTATGTGTATACGCGGCTTTATAGTGCCTTAGCACATAGTACACAATTTCAAGCATAATAGTTGGTGACTTATCTTTTAAATTGTACTTACATGTCCCTTCGTGCACTTTCATGCACTAAACATCTACAACAAATAAATCCGTATTAAATTAAATAATACATAAATTAAGCATTTATACATACTTTTTTTTATTATAAATAAACTAATTACAATTAAAAAACATTTATATACGTACTTGACAGCTTTATCTTATCAAATAAAGTATGTATTGTATATGCAAATGCATAAATTTGAAATGATTGCGTTTCGCATCAAAATGGATGCAAGTTTGCGGTACTTAAAAAAATCTAGGCTACATTCCAAAACTTCCTCTCCAAGGAAGATTTTATTCGAAATATATAATACACATAACATATATTATATAGCATATAGAGTAAAATTTTCCTCAGAGAGGAAGTTTTGGAACGTCCTAGTGACTTTAATTGAGTCTGCCAAACTAGTAATAATAAGTAGTAAAAAAAGCTAGATATGCATATTGTATGTTTACAACTTAGCACGCAGTACTGAAGCCATTAGATTAGATTAAAACACCAACGAGATACTATTAAAACCGTCAATTCTGGGTAAATTTTCGGCGGTATAAAAAGGGCCTCAAGGGCCCGGAGTTAATTGAAGAACGCTGACATTATCGATAATTGATAAAGATTTGCTATTATTAACTGCTATTAATAACTGCTATTATTAACTGCTATTATTAACTGCTATTAATTTGCTATTATTAATAAATATTTCGTTCATACATTATTAAATTCATGATTTTTTGTTACATAAATGTTCCATAAATAAATATGCATACTTGTAAAGCTATAATATCCTATATATTGCAGAAAAATTACAATTTTTTTCTCTGCAATTATCATTTCTGTTGATAATCAAACTTTGACGATAACACTGAAATCAGAATTTTAAAGAAAAATCGAGTATTATTGAGTTCTAAATGCATAAATACGTCCATTAAACTAATAAATCATAAAATTAGTATAATATTTTCAGTTTTTAACTCTTAATTATTTCAATATTCACAAGGATGCCAATTCTCGTAAGGATGTCGGTCTTTAATAGTATCTCGTCGGTGGTTAAAGCAACGATGTGATGCCGTGTGGACCGCGAAGTCTGCGCGCCAAACCGGACAATAGGAGGCGCCAAGAATTCCAAAAGGAAAAATAGAAATGAGTATTTTAGACCAGAAAATGAATCGCAGGAGTCAGGAAAAAGGCCCCAAAAAAGGTATGTATCCGAAAATTTATAAAATCTTGATGACGAGAATATCTTTAAAGATTGGTTGGCAGAAAATGACAATAAAGGGTAACCAAGGGCTTGGTGTAAAATTTGTAATATTTCGCTTATCGATAAATATTATCGATATAATTTATCAAGGCATGCCGAATCAGCTTTTCATATAGATAATGTAAATAGTGTTAATGTTGAAGAAATTGATACCTCACAATAAAAGGTGTGTCTAATTTCTATATATTTATAATTCTATTTCTCTTTGAGGTGACTAAGGATGCCAGTTTCACGAACGGATTAGATACTCTACTGGCGCTTTAGACTGCGCGCATGCGCGAGTGCGGGACATATCTGGCAGCACTGTGCCGAACGGGATCATTGTAAATGATTGTAAAGGAAAAGATGACTTGAAGTGCGTGTGTCAGCGTGTGTTGATTTAACCTCATTTAAGCTTAAATTTTATTCTAGTATCTGGTTTCTGTGTTCTTTTGTGAATCAGTTGTAATCTGGAATGCGGAGAATATGTCGAGAATAGTTGAGTCTTTGAAAAAATTAAATGTCGAAAACGACGCAGAGTCGTACCGACAAGACAATGACAGGGTCAACAGGAAGGTCGAATTGACGCTGTCACTGGAAGAAAAAGTGTCACTCGATCAGAATGACTACATATTATCCGTCTGTGGAACCCAAAGGCAAATTTTATATTTTCTTACAAGTCTTTTTTATCGCGGCACCTGTCTTGTTTTCGCCCAAAACTTCATATATATCTATATCTGTTTTATTTGAAGTACAGTGTACACTAGTTCAGTGTACACTAATTAGTCACAAAAATAGACATTACTTATAGAACATTTAATGTCAAATCTGTGCAAAAGTATAACACATCTGTCCCAAATATATTTCTATTATTATGTATATGTGATATCTAAGAAAATTAGTATTTATTATATGATCAAAAGTAATCTATTTTTTAAATAAATCTTATCAATGACATAAAACTAATTTGCATTCTTTGTAACATGAAGCACTATTGTATATGTTCTAATTATTTGATTACAGTAAAATATAACTTTTGATTAATATTTTTATACATGTATGATTATTATATTTATATAGTATTTTCTATAAATGTTTTTTTTAAATCTAAATTACTTATATGTTCAATAATATATATGTCCAGTTACATTTACAATATTTTTGTTTGATGTTAAGATCAAAACTTTGTTATTGCCAGTTTAGAGCATTTATTTATTGTTTTACACTTAGAAATGACATGAAATGATCTCATTATATATTGCCCAAAATTATATGTATTAATTTTATTTTGTCATATAAACTATTGTTTGTTTGTATGTATAGTGAGCCAGAATTTAGGATTGGAACAGCATTATCAGATCATTCTTGCATAATATATTCTGTTGGCGAATCCTTGAATCGAACGATTATGCTAGATCATAATCGATCACCCATCGTAGGAATTAAGTTCAGTCCTACTTCTAAAAATATATTATATATCGCAACTAATGATGGATTAATTACAGCATGTGATTTGCGTGCTAAGGGAAAGGTTGTAGCAGAATTTAAAGGTAATTGTCAGCTCTAAAAATCGTAAACATAAGTTTTCATCGATAAATTTTAAACAATGATGTCTTAACTAGTCTTGTCTTAACATTACAGATAATACAGAAAATGGCAAAATAAAACCTTTGGCTAGCTTTGATCTTAGCTGTGATGAAAGGCTTATAGCTGGTGGGACAGAGCACACGGGTGGAGATGCATTTATTCTGTTTTGGGACATAAGGCAAAGTAATTCAAAACTAGAAAACACAAACAGTCTCCTTGGTGGATATTGGGAATCGCATATGGATGATATAACTTGTCTGACCTTTCATCCTGCCAAGCGGAATGTTTTGGCATCTGGTAGTACAGATGGTTTGATGAATATATTTGACCTGACACAATCCTCAGAAGATTTGGCTTTAACTTGTTCTTTAAATACCGAATCATCAGTGGTAAGACAACTTAATTCTGTATAATGTATAAAGAACATCTTTTTAATCAAATAGCTTTTTTTTTTAGGACAGACTGGGTTGGTTAACTGATGATTCTCTATGGTGTACGACACATACACAAACGTTACAATTATGGGAATGTGAAGGTGCTAGTGCATATGCAACATTTGCGCGTAGTGATTTAGCCATGTCACAGGTATGTATGGTTTTTTTTATAATTATCACTGTTTATTGCTTTTCTTACAAAATAACTAAAGAATTCTATTTACAGAATGATGATCCTGATAATTGTTACTTGGTAAGATTCCATACCACTAATGTTTTTGGACAACCATTCGTGTTAGCGGGTTCCAGCACAGTTAAAGGGTATTAATTTGCAATATAAGTGTAATGCATTATTCAAAAATAATTTTTTTCTTAGATTGATAATGACATAACATTAATATTTTTTTCAGGGAAAATCTAAGATGCTTGAACATTAAGAAGAATCGTTTGAAAACATATTACGAAATTGTAGGGAATAAACAAATAATACGGGACAGCTGGATGCATGAGAAGGTAAATTATAAATTAAGAAATTATTTCAACTTGGATCAATAATCACCTCGTATTTTCGATTCTGCAGAGTGGAAGCTTGGTGACAGTTGGTGAAAAAGGCATTGTCAGTATTTGGCGACAAACGGAATCGTCGATACAACAAAATTCAAGTCATAAGTTGTTAACTAAAATTGGAACTGACCGTGATCGGCATCACAGATCTAAACCTTATTAAAATAAACATTTAGGAAAAAAATATGTTAATACGGAAAAGTGTTTTGCCATAAAGTGATTGTATCATCACAGTGGAAATGGAACAATCAACAAAGTGTCATAATTGTATATTTCCCTCACATTCTTCTTTATTACAATAACAGTTGTATGTACATTTATAATAAATAGATATTATTTGTTTATGCGATTATTCAACGGCGAGTCATATATCGATTAAAAAAATGTAGCCACGAGTTTCGTGGTATAAATGCTAAGGAATGTAAATCACATGTAACTGTGGATACATTGAATTAATGGACATGGAAGAAAAGAATAAGACAAACCATAGGAGTCGCACGCGACTTGTAAGGAAACGATTTCCTTCTACCACAGCAAGATTAGAATTAATAAAACAGACGACATTGGCAATCGTCACAGAGAAAGTTTGTATCAAGCAATTAGTACTCGTGATAGAGGACAGTCAACCAAATAATGATAACAATTGATAGTCGTTTACAGTCTCTGTGTTTGAAAATCATCAAAATTCAAGGAGACTCCTATCGCCAATCCGTGAGCGTGTCAATAACCAAACACACGCCCGTTTATTACATATTATGTAATATTACAATTAACGATTCAAAAGACGATCGCAGTAGCGAGTATCACAATGATAACAGTAGATATATAGTTTTAGAGCGAAACGGTAGTATAGGTACAGAGTAAACGTACAAAAATACTTCCCATGAGCATCGGGGACGTAAAGATTCGCTAAAACGTGGAAAACCGCGTTACTATAACTTCATTTATATATATATATATATATATATATATATATATATTTCTTTATATATCATTTTTATAGATATATCCTTTCTCAAACATTGCGACGCCACGTGACGTTATATTAGAAAAAAAAAAAGATACAAAACGCCACGAAACGCGCGTAGGCCGTCGCGCTATTCCTCAGCTATCGCCGATTTGATTCTTCGCGTGTTATTGAGATATCCGCGAGATTGTGTGCGACTTCATTTATTTATTACAGATATATCAGTCGATGGGGACAGAAAATTGCGGCACTTCATTGATCGTACACTACATTATCAACTTGCTGACTTGTTCCATTATATCATGTCTTCTAGGATACAAGCAACCTATAAGCGTGCAGAAAGATTGTTTTCTCCAAAAAGGATTAATCTTTTTTTAGTTTTCTCGAGTCGATATAAAATCTCAATTTTTTTACAACTTTTACCCGGCTAGTCACGCTGTAGATAGTACATCATCTATATGCGTATCTATATATATATATATGCGATGAAGTCGAACACTCATCCGCGGAGGACGCTATAACAGCTACAATCGTAAAATATCACCTCGCGAGCTTGTCACACGCTCGGTATTGCAGTAGGTAGTAAACAATAGTAGTAGACTTGTAATACAGTCGCTTATGTTATTTTTTTTACTTTTTTCCCTTTTTTCCTCACATAACTCAACATATGTATCTTACGGAATACTTTTTTAAGATCTATTGTCACCGTGATTGATTGAGACGAACTTGTGTAGTATTATTAGATTATTACTTATAAGTTTCCTTAACGAGGCTAATTCATTAGACTCTTCTTTGTCCATTGTCCCTCAACAGCCCTTTATCTTGCAATCCGATCATATTGCACGTCAGTCTTTATATGCTAAAGAATGTACATTATGACTAACCATTTATCGAGTTCAGAAATCCATAATTTAGAGTCATATTAACAATTACATTTCAATACAATATATTACATATAACACGTTTGTCGCACAACTATCCTTTCCATTTTCGAATTTGAATCCGAAAGAATGTTCGTCGCAACGACTTTTTTCTAAGATATGCTAAATATGTACTAGCTTTCTGTGCTATTACAGAATGAATCGGTAATCCAACGTGCAGTATGACCGTACTAGGATTTAAAAAATCCTCATTTCCATTCAACACTCAAGAACTTCCTCTTTCGTTGATCATAAGTGTGACATACAAATAAAATATATTAGATACAGTGCATGAGATGCAAAATCCGTGAAAACCGACGCGAACTCTTGCAACGAGAGAGATGAAAGTTCATTACGATTCTCGTGTAACGGACCCTCTCGCTTTCGCATACTGTTTCATGTGGATTCGCACGAGCTTTCATCATTTCGATCTTACATAATGCAATAAATAAGGTTGTAGACAATAATACGAGAAGAAAGAACAATAATGGCAGTGAATAATCCCGAAACGAAATGTCAAATATGAAATCCTTCCGTTACAATTCGTTCATAGGAAAGAGTCGCGGGTATATCGCATACGATTTATATCCGAAGAACAGAATCATGTGTAAAGCAAACGTTTTGGGAACTGAAATCGATTTTGACCAGCGGCTTGGCACATATACTGATAATAATGACGATAATTCATAATTGTTAATGATAAGTATCCTATCTGTCTTTAGCACGTATTAAAATACTGCAATAGTTACGATATAAGAATAACTATCGCGGATTCGTTCTATCATTCATAACAGAGATTCATTCGTGCATTCAAATAGGCTAGATACGCAATGCGCGAGATGAATCGCATCACTTACACACATACGCACGTATGCGCACAAACATAAACACACGATTTGCTTTTTCATTCATGCCCAATTATGCTTACATACGCACGCACGCACATGCTTATGAAAAAGTATATATATGTACACACATTCTTTGATATATATATATATATATATATCTACCTTGCATTTCAGCAAGCAGCAACAGATTTGTTTAAAAGATTAATCTAAAATCTTGTTTCTAAAACTGTCAGTCGGCTTGATAACATAACGAGCAAGAATTTAACAAGATCGGCTGATTTACTTTGCTAAGCCGGCCGTTAATACTCTTTTCTCTTTCTTTCTTTTTCTTTACTTCAATCACTTCTAATAAAAATTACATTTTATTTTTAATATATATTCCTCTCATCAAGGTAATAGAATTTCGCGAGATTTGGCATAAAAATGATTATTGCCGTCAGTTATAGCAGTTGGAACGTAATAAAGTTCATCAAGTAATTACATCTCTTCCGTCTCCCAGGTATACCGAGACTAACTACTCGTATTTATTGACGATAGTGTTATTGTGTGGACAAGATGGAGTATCGTATTACGTTACGATCTTGTGAAATAAATAGCCTTAAGTGCATCCTATTGTAAGACTATCAAACCTATAGTGAGGAAAAATTGAGCGATAGAAGAAAATGCGAAATGGTAGGAGATAAAACATACGAAAGTGTGTATGGTGAAGCAGCAAATAGATTAATCAACATCGCAAGAAATTTATGCCGAAAATCAAAAAGATTTAACGCGGCTGCGAGACTGTTGGCTGCTTCTCGACTGATTGCGCGGTGACGGAGCCGGTGTTAAGGTCGGTGTAGTCGTGCCGGTGGTGGCGGCACTGGGGCGCGATGAACGAGACGAATGTTTGCGACCAAATCGAAAGAATCGTCAGAAGAAGATCACCTCCTCCTCTGGCGGTGGTTGCTGCTGCTGCTGCTGCTGCTGTTGTTGTTGCGATTGTGGCTCCGTACTTCGCTGCTGCTGCTGCTGTGCCTGCTGATGTACGTACGGGGTGTCGGGCGGTGAGCGAGTAATGCGAAGCGAGCGATTCGACAAATGCGTATGATTTCCGCCAATTCCATGGTGATGGCTGTTCCCAAGCTCTGGTGACGAATAGGCAGACGATCCGGTGACGATCGCAGGACTGCTGCCTGCTCTGGAATGTCGATCCGGACTATTATTGCTCGTAGTGCTACCGCTTCTGTCGAACATAGATACGACGAAACATAAGATTATTACTTGTCAATTAAAAGATAAACGTTTGCGATGTTTAGGGTGGAATAAGCTAGTTTTACCTTGTGTTATTGTTACTTCCACTGGCAAGCTTCAGTGGCAGCTGTTGCTTAACCGGCAAATTACTCTGTACTTTCTGCTGATTCGTCGCGCTAATCAGATTTAGAGGGATGCGTTTTGCTTCGGGTTGTGCCTTACTACGTGCGCTTTGCATTTCGGCGTTTTGCGTTACGTGAGATAGATGAATCATTGTCGAGCCAGTCGTGGAACTTCCGACCAGCGTTACGCCTTGTCGCTCCAACGCCTCAAGTCGTCGATACAACTGATCCCGTTGTTGCGTTACATCCCGCTGCTCCGCAGCCAATTGCTCTCTCTGTCGCGTCAATTCAGTTCGTTCCTCCTCCAACTGAGTCTTCTCTTGTTGAGACGTAACACGAAACGCTGCTTTTTCCCGGCAAAGCTGATCCTGCAAGTTCCGCAGCTCTTCCAATTGACGATTCGGATTCGGTCGACTATTGGATGATTTGCCCTCTTTACAAGCAGCCAATTGCGCTTGCAGGCTATCGATCGTTGTCATTTGATTACTTATTATACAGAGCAACGTATAAACATGATGAGACAAACGTATCGCCGCCCATTGCTGATCCTTGTTTGTCTCCAATTCTTGGCCGCCTTTCTCATCGGGATTTTCTTTGGGTAACTCACACAGTTTCGGAACGGGAATTATGGTATGCGTCGTGTTTGAATCACGTGGATATCTTTCCTAAAAATCAAATATTATTTTATACGATTATTTGACATTTACTTGTTCGTTTATACGTACTTTATTATGATCAAAACCGGCAAATGTTTCAGCCCTTCGAGGAACGCAAAGAGCTGGTGGAATGTAAGCTTCACTGTGACGTTCGCCGGCGGAGCTTAAGCTTCGTGACAGAGTAGCACCGCCCGCGCTGAACGACAGCGAGCTAGCGAGACGTGTCGCTTCTTGCACGGCCACAACCACCTGTATCCAATATAAAATTTAATTTTATTAATCCGCTGATTTATAAATTAAGAGAGAGAGAAAGAGAATCCACAATAATTTAATTTATAAATAATATTAATTGGATGATACTAACTTCTTGCCATAATTGAGTGGTATCAGTTCCTTCATTGTGCACCAGTCGGGTATAATCGGCACCTTCTTTCTCAGGCTTCTCAATTCTCTCATTATCGCTTTCGTTCCCGCTCCAAACATTCGCCGCTTGTAAGAGTCGCATTTGCAAGTTCATCTTCTCTTCAAACAGCAGCGCTTGCTCTGCATCTTTCTTTCGCAATTCACCTGAGACAATATAATTGTTTATTTGAATACATTAGAAAAAGCAAAACGATATTAGAAGTTATGAAAATGTTGAAAAGAACTAAAAGGACATACCGACAATTCTAAGTATATGTGATTCCTTAATCTTGGCAATACGTTGCTTCTCTTCACTGGAGACTAGCGAAATCGAGGAGGCGCGAGTATCTCGCAATTCATTATTATTTTCAGTCAGCGTGTCGGTTTCGTTTTCGGGATCTTGTGGGCAAGCCTCGACCGCCGACCGAATAGCCTGTATCCATAATTGTTTGTCCTTTGGCTTCTGAATCTTTAGTTCGAACATTTCTGGTTCGGCTGGGTTACTGCTTATTAGATAAATGCTAGATTCTTGACGAGCCTTCTCGCGAACCAGCAGTTTCTGCAATGATACTATACCCGCTTTATTGTCAGGCACGAAGAACGCGTATTTCTGATCTCTCTCAGCCAAGAAAAACAATATGTCTGAGAGAACGACCACTACAATGGCAGTCATTTTGCCACGACCTTGCATTAAGTATGCAGTGCCCTCGAACTTCAGAATTCTATTAATTATATCCGATTTCTTGAATTTAGCACCACGATATGTCGCAAATGACTTTGCGTCGATCCTACAAAAACGTTAATATTTATTATAGTAATATATTTCAAAAAATTAACCATG